TCAACAGCATCATACAGGAACATTTTCTTACAGCCCCTGTGATGCTGTTCCAGCAGTTCACATTCCCTTCCCAGTATTAATGAGAATTGATATTTCAAGTGCATCTCAAATCAGGAATGTACAAAAGTAATCTGTTGAGAGTCGTGGGGGGTCTGACTGGGATCACTAGAATAGCAGGTGCCTTTTAATTTACTGGTAGGACAGGGAATAAGTTCAGACACTTACAACAAATCTCCTGTTGAATTGGGTTTTGAAATGTCCCTGACTTCAGGTTGTGCCTGGAGCTGCTGCAGGGTGAATCCAGTGGCCAAGCTGGGGCTGTGCCACCTGCCCCGTGCTGGGGGGGAAAAAATAAACCCAAAACAGCCTTTTCCCCAGCTGGAATGGTGCAGGTGCTGAACTGAGAGGCTGGGATGTGGGGAAGCCTGTTAGGGAGGTGGGGAAGGAGCAGCTGATGTGCCTCTCCCTGTGGTTTGGCATCCAGGGCTGAGGGCTTCTCTCCGTGTTCCCTCCTCGTTTCCCCACAATCCCACTTTGGAAGGGATGCTCTTCTGACCCCATTTAAGCAGGAACTTCTCTGGTGATGCCCCAGGTGGGCAACCCTCTTTCTGCCACCCCCTCCCCCCCTACTTTGCAGGGTGGCATTGGCCCAAAATTGCCATTGGGCCATGAGCAAAGTGGCAGGGAGCTTATCCAGGGTATGGCTGAGCGTGGCTTGGGGCTCCAGAGAGCAACAAGGGGCCCAGCACAGCCCTGCCTTGGGAAGGTGAATGTTCACACGTGGGAAATGCAGCCTAGAGGACCCATAAGAGAACAGGGAAAGCAAAAAACTGAGTCATTGAGGTGACGTTTCTATCAAGCAAAAAGCAAAAGGAGACTTGATTCCAGGTGCTGTGAGGGGGAAAAAAAAATCATGCCTGGCACGCTGGGGACTCTGTCACTTGTCTTGTAGGACACAGCTCCAGTTAAATGAGGAGTTTAAAAGTGATCCCAGCCCGTTGGGCCTTCTGTGTTGTTCCAAAACACTGCTTGGAGGTTTTGCTGTGGTGTCTGGGCTCAGCACCCCGGGCATGGCAGGATTTTGGGAGCATTGCTCTGCTGCCAGGCTGCAGGCCCTGCTGGGGCTGGAGCAGCTGCCAGGGCATCATGTACCGTGTGCCATGGTCCTTGGCAGACCAGAAGTGGTGGGGAGGGTTTTGGAGGGGCTGCTGGAGGCTGCAGGCAGGTCCCAGGGCTGTGGGTACACGGCTAGGGTGAGAACACGGTGGGGTTTGATTTTTGTAGGTGTTTTTTCCCCCTCCTCTCTCTTGACAAGAAGAAGGAGCTGTTATGGGCAGGATTCAGCCCATCCTCTCACCATGGGAAGCCTTTCCCCCTCCCCTGTCTGGAAGGCTTGTTTGGAAGAGGCTCTTGGGCTGCAAGTCAATGGCTTCAGGTCGTCAAGGGACAAAGCACCCTGAGTTCATTTAGGGTTAGGAAGGGAGAACAAAACATTGAAAATGGAATGCAGTCAAAGCCATGCTCAGTGAAGCAATGAAAACCTGCATGGAAACTGCCCTTCCAGGTAGTGAAGTGAGGATTCAGTGGGCAAGGAAGGGGTGGGAAGGGAGATGGGGCTGGGGCTCAACCCCAGGGTGCTGGTCAGGGCAGGGAGCTGCCTCCTCCCTCCTGGTGGGAAGGGCAGGAGGAGACCTGGGGTGGCAGGGAAAGGTGCTGCCAAGGCAGAGGAGCCTTGGGTTTTCCAAGGAAGTCCCAAACTGGGTGGCAAGCAGCTCTTGAACACACCTGTGGGGGAGGTTTCCAAACGGCTGGAGGCACTTGTTGACCTTGGGGAGGGTTTCCCAGCTGTCCTGTGTTGCTGCTCATCCCTTTGAGCCCGGTTTTGGGGAGACTTATTAAAAACCCAGGGAGGACCGTGGGTGAAGGAGGGTCCAAGCAACCCTTTTCCAACTCTGTACCCCCTCCCCTGCTTCTACTTCCCCCCCCCCCCCCGCCCCGCTCCCCGGT